ATCACCCATTAGTGCTGATAGTATTTACAAAAAGGGGCCTAGAGCCATAAGCTCAATGGCCAACAAGGAACTTTTACTTTTACCTATTACAGGTTTGGAAAATATACAAAATAAAGCAATGAACATCATACCTGGCTGCATCAAAGACACATTATGTAAAGCAATGAGATACCTACTAGATCTTCCAGACTTAAACAGCAGGTCTGGAATGCGCCAAGCGTGTGTCTACCTTTACACACCCACTGAGCGATGAATACACGTAAAGGCAACAGACTTAAACAAGGCCAGTCTTGGCTGAGATGGGCAGAGACAGTACTTCAACGGGTGATTTCCCTTCAAGACATAAACCGTGGAGAGAAATGGATACTCATGCCAAATTAGTACAAGCAGTACTTTGTGGTGGTTATCATGCTGACAAGACAGTGCCGTGATTTGGCGCCACCAATAGTTGATGCAGAACTGAAAGCATTGGTGAAGGAAAACATCACTAGGGGATGTTTTTATATATACAGATGGTTCTGTGATTCATCAGAAGCGAGGTGCGTTGTCTTTAGTGGCAAGAACCAAAGGGAAAATCATTAAAGAAGATAGTGGAGCTTCTAACACCAGCAGCATGACAATGGAAGTCATGGCAGTGACAAAGGCCCTAGAATGACTGAAACACACGAGAAGACCAATGCATGTTTACTCAGCGACACAATGAGCATGCTACAGAAGATCAAGACAGAGTACATACAGAAACAGTGGCTCCATCTGATACAACATGCAGAGTTTTGCAAAATCACATTCATTTTTGTCCCAGGGTACGCTGATGTGAAAGGCAATGAGAGAGCAGACGCTCTGGCTGGCGTGCAACTATCAGGAATGGGCCATCTATAGATAGGAGAGACATCATCAATACTACACGAGAGACTTAAACGCAGTGAGGCTTTCAGTTTCATGGAAAATGATATTTCACTAAACAGACTGCATACCCTATGTGTACCAATTGGAGCCCCGAGACAGAAAAGCCTTGTGGGAGCCACCTGCCATTACATCAACCAGAAAAGAATGAGAGTTGTTAGCCTAAAAATATTTGGAGATATACTCAGGAGGAAATTGGAGCACTGTGGTTCTGTCTGATGTGCGATAAAGATAATCTCTAAAATGAACAATGGTATTTTCTTCCTCTTCCCTAGTCTTGTTCTGCCTTTTGGTATCAGGTTTTAAACCATCATTGTGTAGCAGGTCCTTTGCAGAACGTCGCTCTCATCACAGTCTGCCTGAAAGAAAGTCGGTCTCTCGCCAGCTCTCCCACCTCATGTACTTTCATACTTAAGGAGTCACTTATATCCTGTGCCCATCTTCGTGTTGGTCGGCCCCTGCCCCTCCTTCCTGTTACCATGCCTTCTGTTATTACTTTTTCCAATCCCTCATGGCGCTTGATATGACCAAAATATTTTCGCTTCCAAGACAGGATGCTGTTTATTAGCCAATCTTCCTTGATGTTCAGATCTTTCAAGATGAATAGTATATATAATAAACAAACAGATAATGTACTGATCAGCACTCACAGAAAGAAGTACAAAGATATGGTAATTATGGCCTTGGATATTCCATCTATCCACACCTTCGGTGGTCAACCTCTAGTTCTGCTTCTATTATGTCTGAGTGACAGGGTTCTCTGTGGCGCCTTATCTGCTGGCATTCTTGACACACGTTTAAACTATCTGAATTGTAATGTGCTTCCAAAATGAACTAAATCCCTAACAATAATAATTTAGTCCAGTTAGAAAAATTAACATAAGTGAAGACACACAGGTGTCGATGGGTGTGTAAACAATTAACTACCTTATCTACCGCACCAAGGACAATTGCAGTGGGAGATGGAGCACTTACTTTTAATCTGATATAACAAACTTACATAAGAAAACAGTCAACAAATACTCACTTCCCACATTAATAAAAACAAGTGATATGGACCATAAGAACGACCATCCGGCATCAATAATTTAGACACAGATGGCTCAGCACTTATTCCACTTTCTTCGCATGCTTATGATAAATTAAGTACCCAGGCAGAATCAGAACCTCCTCTAAGTTCTGTGATGAAAACTGCAACCACTATGAAGCAGAGACAGTTTCAATTAGATCTGCTATAGGACTGCTCTACACTAGCAGTCTCACTTTGTGGAACAAAAGCCATGTGACCTCGTCTTCACTGCCTGTATTTACAGCTTCCTGAGGGCAGTGGTCAGGGAAATCTTCAGAATTAGATTTTAGGGCTAGTGCAGTCGTCATCCAACCGTCTGCTTTAGGATTTTGTTTTGTCTATGACAGGAAACAAACTTTCCTTACATTGAATAATGATCTCATGCATGAGAATCCGGTATTGTAACCACTCGGCCACAAATGTTTATGCCTGTCATGGGTGAGTCACAGTAGCGTAGTGGTTAGCAGGCTTGCCTGAAGGATTAACGGTCATGTGTTTGACCAAATCTTCTTCTTCTTAATGTCATCTTTTACCACTTTGTGTATCGAAAGAGATATAAGGTTCTGGATTTTGGCTCTTCTAAACGCCTCAACCAGATACACTGTACCCACTCAGCCATCTCATTTGCATGGTTACTAAATTGAAATCCCAGTCTAGGTGAGGATTTTTTTAAACAAATTGACCTAGACTCACAGGCTGATCTTGCCGCCTAGCCTAATATAGTACTTTTCTGTGAAGTAAATGTGGGTAGTGGGAGCTACCATGGTTGTAGCTGCATGCTCGTCTGTGAATCTGAAGGTCATCTGTTCAAATCTGAAAGGAGCTGCACCTTTTTTTTTTTTTTCAGTTTGACCCAGCCATAAAGGGGGTACCAGGTGAAGTTTTCAGAAGTAAAGGTGACAGGCGGTATGTCAACCACATCACCCACCAAGTGTTCATTGGTCTATAAGAATACAGGTGTAGCACTAGATGCCCAATACATCCAAAGGCATGTAAAAGGCTCCTAAACTTTAAAGTTATACTCTGTATAACAGTGTCAACTGGTCTGTAAACACATGCAACTATCATATATCCAATATACCTCTTGCTGGCACCCTTCTATATTTGATATACTGTATTACAGGGAGGCAGGGGAGTCACAGCCCATGGTGACGACCAGCGTGACCAGCTCACATTAGGAATCTTCCACAATAAGTACATGAGATTACAGGACCACTGTTGCTATCATGTGTAGCTGACCTGTTTCTTCTCAGACACTCTGCTTTTAACCTGTCTGCAATCCTTTTCTCTGATTCCCTTCCTAACTTTCCCCTTCCATGCAATGCGACCCATGGCATCCTGTTCCCATGAATCCACCTCAATACCTGTATCATTCACATACCACTTGCACACATCTTTGAATCACAGTAGAGGCTGTTTTAGCACTTTGCAGTCACTAAAACAACAGGTATCGTTAACTATCTTGTGACACCTTATGTAGCTCATTTTATTTACAATGACAGGACACACTTTTAATTTGCAAACACTTACTAAAATGGGAGCTAACGCCCTACATTTTACTGCAGCACTTGGGTCATCAAGATTTTCACTTATCCTTATATCCTCATGTCAAGCTGTTCTTATCCCTTTGCTTTTGACCTGAGTATCATGTAGTAGTCTTAGTCAACTTTTGTCCTTGATATAAGCAATATGTAGTAGTCTTAGTCAACTTTTGCCCTTGTTATGAGCATCATGTAGTAGTCTTAGTCAATCTTTGTCCTTGATATAAGCATCATGTAGTAGTCTTGATCAACTTTTGTCCTTGATATAAGCATCATGTAGTAGTCTTAGTCAACTTTTGTCCTTGTTATAAGCATCATGTAGTAGTCTTAGTCAACTTTTGCCCTTGTTATGAGAATCATGTAGTAGTCTTAGTCAATCTTTGTCCTTGATATAAGCATCATGTAGTGGTCTTGATCAACTTTTGTCCTTGATATAAGCATCATGAAGTAGTCTTAGTCAACTTGTCCTTGATATAAGCATCATGTAGTGGTCTTAGTCAACTTGTCCTTGATATAAGCATCATGTAGTAGTCTTAGTCAACTTTGCCCTTGTTATGAGCATCATGTAGTAGTCTTAGTCAACTTTTGCCCTTGTTATGAGCATCATGTAATAGTCTTAGTCAATCTTCATCCTTGACATGAGCATCATGTAGTAGTCTTATTCAACATTTGCCCTTGACGTGAGCATCATGTAGTAAGCTTTGAGAACTAATGGTAAGCCATATTTCCAATTTGCATTGATGGCTGTCACAAAGATTTCACTTTAGTTGCTAGTTCATCAAAATGTTCGTGTATCTCTTCGTTTTTGTCTTTAGCTCATATAGCAGTCTTCGCTAACTCTGATATATTTAAAATCTGCACTTTAAATTTTGTGAACACTGACTAAAATGGTAACTGCCACCTAAATTTCACTGTGGCAGCTGGTTCGCAAAGATTTTCACATATCCCTTGGTCTTTGGCGTCATGCAGAAGTCTTAGCCAACTTTACAAACTATGACAGGCCACACTTTTGCAAGCGCTGACTATAATGGCAACTGTCATGGATTTCACTGCAGCACATGGTTCAATCTTAGCTTATCTCTTGTTTTGTCTTTGCTGTCTCATGGGCAGTCTTAACAAACTCTGTTTACTAAAGACTACACTTTCAATTTGCAAATGTTAACTAAAATGACTTACAACTGTCACCAAGATTCTACAGCAGCTACTGGTTCAGTCTTATCTTATCTCTTATTTTGTCTTTGCTGTCTTTATCCTTGTCTCATGGGCAGTATTAGCAAACTCCGTTTACTAAAGTCTACACAATAATTTGCAAACGTTAACTAAAATGACTTACAACTGCCACCAAGATTCTACAGCAGCAGCTGGTTCGTCGAGATTTTCACTTGACCTTTTGTCCTTTATTCATGGCATCAATTGGAAGTCTTAGCTAACTGTTTACTAATGACCACACTATCAGTTTACAAACACTATGACTACAATTACAGCTGTCAGCTAGATTCCACTGCAACAGCTGCTGTTTCACCAAACTCCTCATTTATCTTGTTGTCCTTGTCTTCTTTATTCTGACCACCAAAACTGGCCTTACTAATGCCCATCAACAGAAGCAAGGCTGGAATGTGTATGAGTGTGAACCGAAAGAGCTTCCTGGAAGAGTTGCTGTCACCCTTGCGGTAGAAGCGCCAGCCGAGGTAGCAGAGGTACATGTTCAGAGGTAAAGAATCGGCTGCAAACATCCAGCTGGTCACCCCTAGGAGTGGAGCTGCCAGGCACATTCCCGTTAACAGGATGCAGTGTCGGAGGGCCACGCTCTGGCAAAGTGATGGGTCAACAACAGACATCATTCGGTATCCTGCCCGTGAGTAATCTGGTCTCAGGTTCCAGCTAAGAGCATTAAAGTGTGGGAACTGCCAGGAGTAAAGGATGCCAGCCAACAAAAAGGCACCTGTAATTTTAAAAATAATGCACAAAATATTATATCCACTTTCCATACTGTTTATTAATATTATCAATGTAGCTTCTATGGGGGGGGGGGGGGGGGGGTGGGGGAGAGAGGGCCTAAGGTCTTGAGTTTCAGTACACATTTTCCTGTGTGGGTTCCAGGGTCCTATTGTGGGGAAAACAAGAACAGACCCACCGCTTACCCAAAAGCATGCCATAAGAGTTGACTAATTGGAAGCTTCCTTTGAAATTGGACTGCCTTTGCCTGAGAGGTAAGGTAAGGTACCAACAGTCAGCATACAAATGAGTCAGATCTGTACAGCAGGGGAAAGGGGGAGAATCCATCCCATCACAATGACTGTGAACCCTGAGAAAAGCTGGCATCCCTTCGTCATGATTAGAGGCTCAGTTCTGTCCACCTAACCATTAATGCGGCACATAGGAGGAACATGGCAGCAGGGATGTTCTTCACTCAACAGTGAACAGGTGTTGAGTGTGGTGAAGGTGTTAAAATGTCAAGGGACAGGAAACTGGCTCATTCCCAGACAAGGTGTACCAGGCAGAACACTGGAGAGGCATGAGTAAATGAAGTCTGGCGTCCAGAAAGCAAAGTAGCTTTTGAATAGGCATGCGAACATATGCATTTCAGGACAAGTGCTATAAGTGTTGAAAGGATATTTCATATTTGACAAATTGGATTAAAACAAAATCCAAGAGAAAGACACATCACACTATGAAGGTTATGGTTAGATTTCAACTTAAAGGTCCCTGGAGGGAGGGGGGTCATCATCGAAGTACAGAGCTTCATGCTTTGTGTATGGCTACTGGCAGATTAACAGTGGAGAGAGGTGGAGCCATATGAAATATTTGGTGCAATGAAGTCAATCTTCCGCCTTTAAACACCCTTTCAAAAATGTGTGTTTACCTTGTTTTTCTGATATCCCTGTTTTTGAGCCTCAGCCAACTTTAACTGCATTTATTTACTATGTCAGTGTTCTTTAACTCTCTTAACACCAACAGTTTAAAATCTAAACACCCCCCCCCCCCCCTCCCCTGTGGGTTCCAGGACCCCATTTCTGAGGAAACAAGAATAGACCCATTGCATCACTAACAACCATGTCGTAAAAGATGGGTAATTAGAGATGTTTCCTTTAGAGTCAGATTGCATCTGCCTGAGCGGCAGATAACCTAGTCTGCATACACATAGGGGTGATCTGTAAAATGGATGTGCACGCAAAATTTAAGTCCTGGAATAAGACTACAGTCAAGAAGTGGATGAACAACTAGAACTTTCTGCTGGAGTTTACAGCCTGTGAATGTAAAATTAATGAGGCACTATAGAATACCACAGAAAACTATTAACTTAGTAGAGGCAACATAAAAAGACATGAAATGTGGCGTTCTTCATGAAGGAAAGCTAACCGATACAGTTGAAATTAAAAAAAACAGGTATAGAGAGGGATGTCTTTTCTTCTCCTTCTTTCCTTCGCTTGAAATAGATTATCTTATAAATAGATATCTTTTATCCACTCTCCTATTTTTACTGGCAATAGACTGGTTTATGAAGACAGCAACTGTTAAAACCAAGAATGGAATTCAGTGAAACCCTACAAAACAGCTAGATGATCTGGATTTCACTGATGATACTTCTCTTCTGTCTCATTCATGGAATCAACTGCAAGATAAATATACTAGATGCAAGATTCCAACAGCTAGGTCTGAAAATCCACAAGGGAAAGATCATGATAATAAATCAGGCAAATAGTAATGTGGTTTCTCTTAATGGCACCCCCACTCTAAGATGTGGAGTCATACACCTATTTGGGCAGTAATGTAGGTAAAGATGGGGGAAACTGATAGAGATATTAAAATATGAATACAAGAGGCAAGAGAAGCTTTCATAGCACTAGGGAATTTGTAGAGGTCAAAAGAAAATTAAACTAATTCTAAATTTAAAATTGTAATTCCAATGTCAAATCAGTACTGTTTTATGAAGTGGAAACATGGAGAACAACTAAGGCAATTACTAATAAACTACAATCATTAATTGATGCCTGCACAGAATAGAGGGAATTAAATGGTATGATAGAATGACTAATGTAGAGCGTTTGGAGAGAACTAAACAAGTTTCAGTGAACCAGGAGGTGAAGAAAAGACACTAATGTTGGATAGGACACAGGTTGAGAAAACCTGAGAACAATATAGCTAGAATGTCTTTGCATTGGAACCCACAGGGGCACAGAAATAAAAAAAAAAGAGACAAAAACACACGGAGAAGGGAGCTAGAGAGTAAAGTTAAAAAGATGGGGAGGACATTGCAAAAAATGCACACATAGCAAAGAACACAACGACTTGGCCTAAGCTGACTGAGGGCCTATGTCCCATAGGGGGTCAGAAAGACAGGAGAAGAAGTAAACATCGCCCCGTTTCATTGATGAATTTCATACACAACTGTTGCATCATACAACCAAATGTGACAGATTCTACAATACTGCACACCTATGCTTAACGGGGAACCTTAGAGGAAGCAATGAATATCAAAACTGCACTCTAACAAGTACTCTGCAAAGGCAAATTAGGACAGAACTGGGCTTAAAGTTGGCTAACACATTTGGTAAAATCTTCAGCCACTGAAGCCAACCAGCTAAGAACAAGTTTAAAAAGATGAGTTTGGTGAAGGCCTATACTCCGGAAGGGATTAAAAAAAGAGCAGCAGCAGCGGAACAAGGATCAGAAATAGAAATAATGTTGAGAGACAACTTACCTGGTTCAAGACCACCTGTACAGGCAGCCCACCCCATCATGGGTGGTATAGCCCCCACCAGCGATCCTACCCATGTGTTGATGACACTGATGCGCTTTAATGGTGTATAGATCAGAGTGTAGAGACCCAGGTTGAATGCACCCAAACCCGCCACAACTGGGTTGACACCATAATACAGAATACACAAGCCAGAGATGCTGGAGACGGCTGCAAAGCCCACCGAATGGAGGGGACTGAAAATATGTAACAAGGTTAAACTTGAAATGTCTTAGGACTTCTGCAGCGTATTCACACAGCCATCAAACAGGTCTATTTCTGTTAATCTCCAAGGAATTAGATACAACAATCAAAAGTTCCATTACATTTTTTTAAATTTGTTTAAAATTCACTAGAAATCCACACCATTGTCAAAGTTCCATTTATTTCATATCCTCTAGGAGATCGAATCGAACAGTTCCTTTTATTTTATAGCTTCTAGGTACTTTACACAATTATTAAAAGGTCTCAACCATTTTATATCTAGGAAATTAATTCAACTTTCAAACACTTTCTTTTAACTTATAATGTCTAGGAACGTAATACAACTAGCAAACAGCCCCCCTCCCCCACCACTTCATAAAACTAAACAGTTCCAATTATTTCATATTCCATAGGAATCTCACACAACTATCAAACCGGTTCCTATCTTTTAGGAACTTCACACAACTATCAAGTAGATTCAACTAACGAACATAATTATTTTATATAACTAAACAGTTGTATTTATTTTACACTCTTTAGGAACCTTTACTTCTGTCTTTTATCCTCCAACAGGGCACAGACTATAAACTAACTTGCAAAAAGCCATTTCAAACTTGGTCATGGTGGGTGGCTGAAGATTTTCTGGGAATTCAGTAGCCAACACCTAATCAATCTTACCCTCCGTCCCTACAGTCTATTTAACCACTTTTTAGGTTGGTGTAGATAGAGGGGCCTTCAGCCTCAGGATTTAGGGCCACCTGGCTAGGGCTGTCGCAGGTCAAGATGCTCAATTCTGTTCCCGACAGAAAAATTCCATCTCCTTACCGGAGGTTGAACTCAGGTCTCCTGCATGACAGCCCGACGTTTAACCACTCGGCCAGCCACTCCTCACCGTAACTTCAGTGGCCTCTAATGATGACATGCCTGGTATGGTGCAGTGCTGTTACTACTGACTCTTCTCTGGAGCTTCGATAATACATGGATATAATAATAAACATTTCCATTTATTTGTACAATGATTCTGATTATTCACTTTTGCACCAGCTGAAGAACTATAAACTAGTGATCACTTGTTTCTATCATGGTAGACCCACAACACTCTACATACTAACGGGGGATTCAAAAAGATTAAGTAAAAAACTCATTTACACATCTTAACATACACCAGTATACAGTTTTTCATCTCCTTCTTCCTTTACCATTAAAATAACAGTCGATATGCTGTTGTTTTTTAAGCTAGACTGCAATATCTGTGCCTTTCGACCAAACACATCAGATTTTGGCAAACCCTTAATTAGTCACCTTTGATTGGATGCTTGTTAAGGGGCAGTGGGTTTGTTCTTCCTGCCTCAAAATGGAGGTCAATTCCTTTCTTCCCCAAACAAGGAATGGTGGATTGGGGCGCTGTTTAGCTGTAAGAGCCAGATCAACTAGCAAAGTCACCTCATTAGGGATTTAAACCTTTGGTCACAGGCTGGTAAGCGAACTGTGACTTCATTTTATATTGTAAAAGGTTTTTAAGTTCAAATTTATCTTACCTTAACAGTCCTTTCACAAGCACTCTATTTTTCGTTCTATTCATCTGCGAATCATACGGCACTTCAAAAAACTGAAAGAGAAAAGAATCTGGCATAAAGATACTGAAACCAAAGAAATAATAAATGCAGTGGTATAATGTTTGATATAAACACAGCAATCAATAGACTGCCACCATCATTCCAACAAGACAGGTTTAAGAACATGTGGCTCCATTACACCAATTGTAATTGTATCTGCAAATATCTCTTAACCAAAAAATGAAAAAGCCTGTAAGAAAACACACAGCCAGAGGGAAGAGGCATCCAGAACAAACTTTGAGGAGCCCTTGTAGACTTGCTTCTGACATGCTGGTTCATGAAGACAACACAACTAATAACCTGAGCATTTGAAACCGATCGCAAAGAAGAAGTATCTGTTGATTTTTAATGCAAGAATCAGTCAACTGACAGACAGAGAGAAGAAACAACTGAGAAACAGAGTAGCGAACGAACAAACAAACTTTATTTTCAAAGGGTTAAGAATTGGGCATGCAGGCCCGTCTAACATTCTGCCCTTCCACTCCACTCCTTTCATACAATGCTTAATTTTTTCCTCATTTCATAGTTAATAATAATAATAATAATAAAAAGAGGAATGAACAATTAAAAATTTGAGAAATATAGAAAAGAAACAAAAGAACAAAAAAGAGAAGAAAAAAAAAATTACAATATCTAAGTCTTAATTACAAACGCTGGAATGTGCTCTAATTTATACTGACATTACTTGAACGTTTTAAAGAGTATAATAATAAGCCTGTTCCAAAAATGATGTAGAGCAAACAGTAGACTGAAGTGGAGACACTCAAATGAAGAGATAATATGGAAACACATCTTAAATCAACAGAAAACAACAAATTTTGTCATGACATGCCAACTGTTGCACTCCACAAATGTAAATGATAAGGCATAAGCTACTGTTTCAATGTATTACAATGAATGTATTACATACCTAACTAATGCACATGAATTTTGCAGAAACTGCAATACACAATGGACAATGTTCTCTATACAAATAGAAAGATGTGTTTGTCAGCTTAAAGCTACTACAATAACACATACAATTAAAAGTTTTAGTCAAGAGGATCGACTTCATTGCACTGAGATTGATCCCCAAAGGCTCAGTCTCCCTCTGCAGAATGGCCACTAGAAACAGACATAACAAATATTATAACTCTCATTCATAACAAAATTTCTGTTTGAAAATGGTGAATAGCAGCCGTGTTATTTTTCTATGGCTGTGGTTGTCCTATGTCAGGGCAGGATAATGACCGATAGATTTGGCAGCCTTGACCAAGCTGCCTTCGCATAGTTTTTCATCGTGGCGGCCCACTATCTGGGAAGACAAAATCTCATCAGTAGTGGACTGCAAATATCGAGAGCGAGCGCGAGCGCGAGAGAGAGAGAGAGAGAGAGAGAGAGAGAGAGAGAGAGAGAGAGAGAGAGAGAGAGAGAGAGCAAACTCGATTAAAGCTGTCCTTGGTAACAAAATGTTACAGTTAACTCAATAGCCATGGCCATACGTAACATAGTGGTTCCCAAGTAGCTAAGAAATATGGACCCCCCTAACCCCCAACCCCTTTTTTTTTCAAGATGTGTCAATGACTTATTTTTTTTTTATAGTCATACTGAAGAACATATAATTTATAAACATCAGAATTTAAAGGAAAAAAAGGGGGAGGGATTGCATTCTAAAACTGAAGGTGTGTTTTTTTGGTACATAGAATCACAATGTATCAACTAAACTTACCTGATTTATGGAATTGGCAGCACAAGAAGTCAAACATGTGCCCAGAGAACTCAGAACAAATACTGAGAGGTCAAAAGCTCCTGGAGAAATTCCGTAACCTGCCATTGTTGTGATCACAACCAGACCTGTGAAGTACAGAAGAAATCCATTGAACCTCATTCTTATTCTTCTTCAGCATTCCTAGCCAGCCCTTGAGGTTCATTGCTGAAGATATCACCACCTCCATTTATCTCTCTGGTTGGCCTTCTCTTTCCAGTCCAGTTGGTGACACCAAGTGTTTGTAAGTCTGTGTCTGGATACTATCTCTCCATCATCTTCTTGGTCTGCCTTGTGGTCTACGACCATTTAGCTCCCTTTACAGTCTTTACCTCTGTTATCAGACATTCTTTCAATATGCCCCAACTATTTCAGTCTATTAGCTCTCATGATGCCAGTGATCAGTGGTGATTTAAACATACTATGTGTTTCGTTGTTGCTTTTCACTCTCCATTCTCTGCTGTGGACCAAAGATTTGTCGTAAGACTCTGTTTTCAAGAATTTTTAAAAAGGCGCATCTCATTTAGCTGTGCTCCAAGTTTCAGAGCCATATAACATGACTGGTCTTATCAACGTTTTATATATTTTGATCTTGGTGTTGCGAGATAGAGACTTGGACTTTAGCAGATGTTCAAGGGCATTGTATACTTTATTTCCAGATTGTATTTCTTCTCTTAGGATGTTAGAGCAGTTGAAGCTTGCACTCAAGTAATTATGTTTCCATTCTCTTGATTTTAATATTATCGACTTATATGTGGCCGGAGTTTATATCCTTTCCCTGTCTTATTATCATGTTTTCTGTCTTATCTTGATTGATAACTAGTCCGATTTTGTGAACTGCTTTTTTCAAAAAGAGTCAGTGTTTTTCCCCTCTCTCTAGTTCATTTTCTCTAACGATATCAATGTCATCTGCATAACTAAGTATTCTAGTTCCTCCTACAGGACACTCTTCTTTCAATTTCCTTATAATTTTCTCCTGGGCTGATTTGAAAAGAAGTGGGGACAGAGCATCACCTTGCTTTAAACCAGATGTTATCTGAAAAGGGTCTGACTTTCGGCCTTTATATGTTACTATATTACAAGTGTCTTCCATACCTAGTTTAGTCATTATGATTAACTTCTTTGGTATTTCAAAAACCTTCATAGCATTTCGTAAACTGTTTCGATGCACACTATCGAATGCTATTTTAAAATCCACAACAATATGAAAATCTCTTCTATATTCCCAGTTTTGCTCTGCTATTGCAGTAAAATGAATATTTGATCTACTGCTGATCTGTTCTGTCAGAAACCCGCTTGGGCAATCACCCAATATATCTCTGACGTATGGTTTTAGCTTGTTTAGCAGTACCGGCGATAGTATCTTACAGCTCGTAGATAACAGTGATATTCCTCTATAATTTTCACATTGATACTTGTTTCCTTGCTTTAAAAAGGGGTATTAATAATGACTTGTTCCATTCGCGGGGTAATTTCTCTGTCTTCCAAACTAGTTTCATTAATTCATATATGTTTAAATGTAATGCATGAACACCTTCTTTTAAAAGTTCAGCTGCAATTATATCAGCACCAGTTGCTTTATTGTTTTTAGGCCGTTTTATAACATACAGTTCTTCTTCAAAATCAGGCTCTTCAATATTTGGTTCACATGTTACTCTCTCTTCCTGTGTATTTAGTAGAGTCTCACAATTTAACAATTCAGCAAAGTATTCCTTCCATCAGTTGCATATTTCCTCATTAATACTTATCATATTCCCACTGTGATCTTTAAAGTGTCTCATATTTTTTCAACACAGCATATATAGTTTAGAAGATAACTGAACCACATTGGTAATAATAATCCCAGTGTTGAGCACACAAAGAGACAGCCTCATCAACAGGCAATACTGGCAAGTGCCTTATACTGCAGACTTTCCATGTAGCAAAATGGATGTCCGCCTTGTGTTAACTCTTTTGCCCTGAGAAGCAATTAAAAAAAAAAAATTTTCTGCTTGAGTCCAATCCCCCATAAATGTCCCAGTTTCTGACTTGCCTATCGTGATCATTTATAAGAAGAATAGTTAATGAAACTGGCTGAATTCCTGCTTGCCGCAAATGTTTAGATCAAACTAGGAACAGATTAAATAGCATTTAGAAGGGTTTTTCCTTCCTTTTTCCGGGTACAGTCCTGGGAAGTAAAGGCGGTCGGCGTGATGCTTACGTCATCCACTAAGTGCCATTTGGTCTATAAAATATAGGTTTAGCCCTGTATATCCATACGCCTCAAATGCGTGGAAAAGGGTCCTTTACTTACTTACTTTACTTATTTATTCCTTATTAATAATTCTTATTAATATTCTAAACATATTTCCACAAACATTTTCAGGTGGGAAATTTTATTTGTTATTTCTGCTCACACGGCCTTAAGTACTTGTAAGATATGTACATGGTGTTATTCTTTATCATGCATTTGTGTTTCATTTCATAACAGAATGAAAGTAACATCGAGCAAACTATAGATGCCTTTGTGCACAATGATGAAACTTGCACAGGTCTGAAGAAAATAGGCAATAAGGAAAACAAATAAAGGTAATAATATAAACTGTAACAAAAGCGGCAAACGCAGTTATGTAAACTGTAACTTCCCATGTGGGTTCTAGTACCCAAATCTTCTGAGGATATACCCACTACTCCACTAACAAGCATGTCATGAAGGTAAACTAATGAGGGCATACCCTGCAAAGTCAGAGTGCATCTGCCTGAGAAACAATAAACCAACAGTCTGCATACAAATAAGTCAGATGTGGATGCAAATGGATGTGCACGCAAAATGCAAGTTCTGGATCAAGACAAAAGTCTAGAAGTGGATGAACAACCAGAACTTTTCTGCCTGTTTACAGCTGGTGAACATGAAAAAGAAGAAGAGGGAGAAGAAGAAGAAGAAGAAAGAAGAAGAAGAAGAAGAACAACAACAACAAATTGTAACTAATGTAGTAAACACATAGAGAAGTTTTATTCTCACCTGTAAGTCGTGCCTTTGAAAGCATTTTGTAGTAGAGAAACAGTTTCTTTGGCTCCAGCTTCTGATCTCGCCACTCCACATCATGCACTGACTCAATGTTTGAGCCAGGGTTGCTCCTATCTGGCCGAGCCTCAAACACAGTCAGAGAATATGAAGATGGACTCTTCACTACGCTATGTGCAGGAAAAACCCCACTCATACTACTGGATGAAAGTTTGTCCAGATGGTACATACCTCTGTTGCCTTGCAAGAACAAAGATGTGTTTTCAGATATGTGACTTGCTTTTATATCAATCAGCTGTCCTGATTTTTTAAAATGCAAAGTAAGTGGTTCGTGTTTTTCAATATCCACTGTACGCATTATGTATTCCACATTCTTGGTCACATGATTTGTGACACAAGAATTGTTCTCAACATGGGGCACTTCCTCCGCTGATTCTGGTGCTGGAGATGTTGTAGTTGCTGCAGCTTTTGTTGCAAACTGAGGAATTGTTAACAGAACATTTTACTTTATCAGGTTTTGTAACTCAGTCAGAAAACTGGCATGACTTGTCTTTATAAAACTGCTTGTTTTGGTAATTACAATCTGTACTATAAAGAAGGTACATACTTTTATGATTTAGTCTTCGCCGAAGATGAAGGAATTAAAGAATATGCTTTTCTGTCATATGCAGTCTTAGGCTGAGAAAAAAAGGAAGTATTGATACATGCTTTTCTGTGCCTGAGGTCAAAAAGAGGGAAGTAGAGACACACTGTCCTGTCTGGGTCTGTTTACGATGAAGGAAATAAGGATACATATTTTCCTGTCTCGGTCATCCTTAGGTCAATGTGAAGGAACTAAAGACACACAGAATCTCCTGTCTTGGTCTTACTTAGGACAAGATGAGATGTTTTTTTTTTTCTAAAATGGCCGAGGCTCCCAGGTCAACCCAGCCACAAAGGCGTACCAGGTAAAGTCCTGGAAAGAAAAGGTGGCCAGCAGGATGTTGACCACATAACCCAGCAAGTGCCAGTTGGTCCACAAAATATAGGTCTAGCCTCATATGCCCAATACACCTGAAGGGGTAGAAAATGGTCCTTTATTTTTACTATATTTTGTTTACTTTATCCGTAAAAATATAAGGGAAACGCAAACAGACACTCTCAAATCTACACCGGCAAATTTTAAGGGGAAAAACTGACCATGGCTGCCAGGTCGACCCCGCTGGATACCAGGTAATATCCTAGGAGTAGACGCAATGGGCGCTACACTGACTACATCACCGACCAGTGTCGACTGGTCTATAACAACAAATATAAGCCCAGCATCAGAAGCCTTATGTGCCACTGCCATGAAAATGGACGATTTATTTCTCTAACTGAGAAGTGAGCCAGAGAATGAAGTTAACAATATATGGGGTTAGTTGCATGCAACAGCCAAGGACAGAATGATTTTATTGTGAGTTGGCTGGGGGCCTAGGCTACACTGTTGGGGGAGGGGGGTGGGGGGTGGGGTGGGCAGAAGACAGACAAGAAGGTGATGGAGATTTTCTTTTTCTTCACATCATTTTGGAAAAAGACACTCTCTCTGTCCTACACCACCCTACAAAGTGGTAAATACAGGCAGTGAAGACAAATTTACTAATTAAAAAAAAAAGGATAAGATCAGCAGGAACCCCAAAGCTACGCTATTAGGATATATATACATGCAAACATAACCTGAAAGATATCGATACTGGCACAGATACTTGGTAGAGATCAGCTGCAGATCTACTCCTCTGGAGGCAGACTGTGAAAGACAGACTATCACAGTTTGAAAGAGGCCAAAAGCAGTAAGCTGTAGAGAGGAAGCGTAGAGAGAAAACCAGCCTCAGAATGATACAGTATCAACATTTTTATGTGGCACAGACTGCCACTCCCGCACTGGAGCGGACACCTTTCCCAATACTAGTGGCACAATTCTATAGTCTCCAGGAACTGATGGTTGCCTACACTACATTAGTTATCAAAAGCAAATGAACTTACAAAACACTTGCAGGATTTTCTTGACCACCATCGAAGTGTATGCTCACGTGATGCCTGGACCTCTTCTGTAGCTAGCCATCTGTAGACAAACTGACCTGTCCATGTCAAGGTTGCAGTCTGTCGCGACAGTGAACAGGTTGACATCTCACAGGTTTTTACTGTACCAAAGTAACTGTCTCAGAAATCTGAGACCGCAGTAAACACCTGCAAGTCAAGCATCAAAACAAAAACATTAATCTCATCCCCTTCGCCCCAGTGACCTAGAAATAAAACAATACCAAAGACATGTAATTTTTGAATTTAAAAATATCCTTTTAAAGACAAACATTTTGTTTACACAGGTCACACACACACACAAATCATAATTCCATTTATTAACTAAAACAGTATTTAATTGTACACAAAATAACGGAGCTAATCAATAAACATGAATGCAGCACAGAATTCATTGGGTTACCTCTGAGCTGTAAAAATATTTTAGCATGACCCATTCTTGACCCCATGACCTGGCCACTAGTTACTACTGTAACTAATGGGAATCTAAGGTGTCATAATTTCTATAACTAAAGTCATAAACCTCAGGGAAACCCCCATCTAATTGCTATTTTTAGCAACTTTGCTCGTTTCTAGTCATTCTAAAATAAAGTTACTCGGGAAAAATGGACACTGTTAGTGGGGCTCCTCATAAACAAGCCTCTATAGCAAGCCAGGAAAGGAACATTTACAGGACCAAAATTGCAACACAAAATGCAGAAATTACAGCCTAATTCTTAATTGAATCACAAAATGCCAACCACCCTTATAAACGTGAACACAAAAGAAAAAGAAATCCTGCAATCAGTAATTAATAATTTGTTGTTAGACCAAATTTATGAAATTACACTTTACAGCTATCTTATAATATGTCATGACTTTGACTGGGTTCAACACATACAAGAAATATAAAGCAAACACCAAGCGCATATCTATCATGCGTAATATGCAAATAACGGTGAGCCATTTTTACTCAGATAGGAAGTTTCATGCGAAAAGGATTAATACTGCTGCTAGCTTCCAACAGATTACCATGATTTTATAAAAGAAAATATAAAACAAATTATTCTAAATAGTGCCGCTAAATGAAATTAAACAATTTAGGTCTATAGGTAAATTATAATAATTTACATTGGATTTTATTGTGTCATATTTATTTTGATTTAACATAATTTTCAAAACATTATAGTTTACAGTATAGGTAAATTTAAAAACCAAAAAAAATGCTTTTATAAAACCCTAGTTTATTTCTTAATCTATTAGAGAGAAGTTATAAAAGAAGTCGAAGAGAAAATATAAGGTACAGCGAGACTGAGTTATTCACTTATCTCTCAGTCTCAGTATACAGTTCTTAAGCACAATTAAACCTATCTCACATTCCCTACTAAAGAGGAATTTAATGCCTACAATTTCTGCTTCACTGTATAATATTATTACTCAAAGCAGGGGTTTTAAATGTCAGACCCCTGGACAGTATAGAGCTCACAAAATCATTTGGTGTGGTCTGCCAAGGTAACCACAGGAGGATTCAAAATTCAATTTAAAAAAAAAAAACTAGGAGTGATCTGGTAAATCAGTTGCCAGTAGCAAAATTCAAAATCATTAATAACAAAACCAGCTAACATCACACACTGACCAAAGAGAGGTAGTTCCAGCATTCATATTTGGAGTCAGCTAATTAATTTTAAGACTTCTGGTCCAATATGGCAGACTGTTGGCTTACCGCTAACGCTTAAAAAAAGTTACTTGTTTCTAGCTAGGGTCTGCTGATGCAGATTGCCTATTTCTGGTCCAGGAGTCTAAGGGTTCCGTTACCCAACTACTAAGCTCAGTGCTTAGTATGACACTAGATTGCATGTGGAATGATTTTTTTTTTTCTGTTGTGTGCATGACACCTTTGCGTTCACATCAAATATGGCGGGTGGCTAATTATGCTCGGAATGGTGTGTACTATGGCAGTATTGTATCAGTTTTATACCTTTTATTGATATATTATAAGCAGACTTACATATATAATAATTAATAGTCCCTGTGTGTAGGTACTTTAGTTAAATTTTTAAAATGCAACCAATAAAACCACCACAGTTTAGCCACCTCATTTAGCCTTGTATGTCATTTCTGAGCTGAGATATGTAGGTTTTTGTGGAGATGAGATGTAAAAAACAGCTGCTAAAACTTGTCTGAGAAACAAGAAGTTTTCTCTGCGCAACCAAACTGCGCAACTTTCGTTTTGGCTTTGTTTTCATTGGACAAGATGGCAGACAATTTTTCTCAGACACAGCCACATAATAGTGATTGCATGAAAAATGTCACTGTAAATCGAAACAGCCACAGATAAGAAAGAAATTTTATACACAAATGTAAAATTGGACGGAGAATTCAATTATAACTAGCATTATCATGTCTGGTAATATTTAAGGCCTTAAAGCCAACCGCGAATACTTATAGCTATTTTCAATCAAACTGATGCAACAGAAAAACAGAGGACGTCCAGCTGTCGTACACATGCGCTATTAATCAGGTTCCTTCCCGCCATTTTTAGCTTTTTATAGTGGGTGAAAATCACACCAATACAAAATTTCATGAGAGATTAGGACCCATCCCGAAAACCCAGCCGACATTTGCGAAGCAAGTTTCGAATGGTTTCCATGGTAACGGAAATTGCCAAAAGACCGCCAATTGCCGAACACTGTAGTCGCTACTGTGTGGGTTCTGGAGCCCCATTGTGGGGAAAACAAGAATAGACATGTCACAAATGTTGATTAATTGGGGAGCTTCCTTAGCAGTCCGAGTGCATCTGCCTGAGAGGCAAGGAACCAACAGTCTGCATTCAGGTCTGTAAAAATGATGCACACGCAACACTCAGGTTCTGGATCAACACTGCAGTTCAGAAGTAAACGAACAACCAGAACTCTTCGCCAGAGTGTACAGCTAGTGAACGCGAAGACGAAGAAGAATATAGTTAGTAGCCCGCGAGTGATGTGTTTGTGTAAATATCCAAAAGGCCCTTCTTAGTTTTTAAGCCCAAAAAAAAGTTTCTTACCCGAAGTAATAAGTACTTTAACTTAAGGAAGTAACTTAGCAAGATGCGCTAAATGAAACTATTAACCAAAGATTACAGAAGAAAGACAACGGAGACGGGCTCTCCTAGCAGATTTGGCCGGCAAGCTAAACTGCTTCGGCCGGCTTAGTGGGGCTTAGTGGGAGTTACGTCCCTTCGCCAAATTCAAAACAACTCAAAACCAGTCGCGGAAAAAGTCACGAATCAAATGACATACTTACCTATCATCATCCGGGTGCCTGTAGGGTTGCGTAGGGTGTCTATCATCGTCCTACGGTTGTATGTAGGGCTGCTTATTGCGTGTAGGTTGGTTGTTTGCGTAAAATGAGGGGAGGGGTTAGGGGTTAGGGTTTAGGGTTTAGGGTTTAGGGTTAGGGTATAGGGTTAGGCTTTAGGGTTAGGGTTTAGGGTTAGGGTTAGGGTTTAGGTTTAGGGTTGGGGTTTAGGGTTAGGGTTTAGGGTTATGGTTCGATGTGAAAATTTTCACGTAGGAGGTCGAAATAGTGGCTGACAATCTGATGCTTGTGGGAGTGGCGCCACTGAAACTCTGCCAAATATGACGCCAATAGAGGGTGGCTGGTGCCCAATCGGTGGCAAATTGTCCGTGTCAGTAGCATCCACCGTCCGTCGACTGTTTGCGCGTGCATGCGACTGTGCGCGATTATAGGGAACTACGGCGTCACAATTGTCACATCTAACGCTACACCTAACCCTACCCCTAACCCTACCCCTCATCTTACGCAAACAACCAACCTACACGCAATAAGCAGCTCTACACGCAACCGTAAGACGATGATAGACACCCTACGCAACCCTACATGCACCCGGATGATGATAGGTAAGTATGCCATTTGATTCGTGACTTTTCCGCTCGATGTTTTGAGTGCGGCCACGGGGACATAACTCCCACTAAGTCCCGCTAAGCCGGCCGAAGCAGTCGAAGCAGTGCAGCTTACCGGCTAAATCTGCTAGGAGAGCCAACATAACTAACTAATAGTGGTATATTTCATATTATTAATATTTAAGTGAAGTCTTAGTCTGTAAAGTTAAAAACATTTGTTAACATTAACAGCTGTTTAACTTAGCAGCCCAGCATTTCTACAAAATACGCAATAATATAGCCACTTACTGTTTTTATTGTGACATCCAGACACTCTTAGTAGCTCATCAACAGCCAGAAAATGAGACACTTTGGAACGAAACATTAAATCATGTTATCATGTGTGTCCTCTGTTTGTCTTCATACATCTTCTATTTCGGAAATTAGAAAGTAAAACACGGGACACAACTCATGCAGATTTCCGAAAAATACCGTGACAAATTACCGAAGATGTATAAGAATTGAGTTATGAGTTGGATTATAGCACTCTGGTCATCAGCGTCGCGCGGTTAATAGTGCCAGCCCTATTATGGTTGACAAGACTTCGTGTGCGTCCGGTGTGTTTTCATGCTTGGCTGTGGCCAGTTCATGTATGCTTAGCAGTGATGTGGACATGTTGCTTCCAAAATCCTCAGAACGTCCTATCTCTCTAAGAGCAATGACAATGTTTTGCGTGATCCATTAGCATCTTTAAGTCATCTTTAAGTAGTGCGACACCTGCCAGTCTATTAGCTCTTTCATTACCAGCAACACATGCATGACCTAGGACAAATATTAAGGCAACTAAACACACAGAAGAGTTTTGCAATGACTCAATCAATGGTCTGCGTAACCAGCCTGCATTGACGCTCCGGATCATGCTAAAAGAATCAGCACACACACGCGGGAATGTTCCTGTAATTCTAGTCACATGAAAGCTTGTGTCACCGCCATAACCTTCATCGTCATGCTGCTGGTAGTCATGGCTTCTTGAACTGTTCTGCCTGAAGAGCGAGCTGTAAATGCCTATGTACTCTCATGTGCTCGTATAACTGACCCGTCTGTGAAAATCAGCATATCGGTCTCATATGACTTGTCACTGATAAGCGAGCAACCTAAGCTTTGACAGCAGCAGGATTCTGTTCCCGACAACTCCTATTAAGTGTCACGACACAGGAGAATATGAGATTG